GACTGTAGGGATGGTGCTGCCCACAACTGCTTATTTTTGGTGTCTTTGTCTGGAACCTTCACTCCCTGCTCGCCTCCAGGCTCGGTGCCGGCTGCAGAGCTCCTCCCGCGGGGTTGCAAACTCAGGGTTTGTGCTTTTGCTCGACTCCCCCGTGGCTTTAACGCACTGCAGGCGTCTGGGGCAGGACGCGACCTTGTGCAGGGAGCAAAGCTGCCTTCCCGATTCTTCCCGCGGCGCTCTGTGGGCGCTGAGCTGAAGGTGGGGCTCCTTTTGCCCCAGCAACTCCCGGTGGTGGCCGAGCCCCAGGACGAGGACCGGCGGCAGCAGGGCTGGGGGGGGCCGAGCAGGACGCCGCCCCCGGCGGAGGGGTGAGGAGTGGGGGCTCCGTGCTCCGCGCTGGGCAACCGCTGTACCGTCAGCCTCGGGCAGGAGGGGCCCGGGTTGGGCCGGGCGCGGTTCTCCCGTTGTCGGCGCCGAGCCGAACGAAGGTGGAGCGGCCCAAGGTCACAGCGGCCGTTCCTGCGCGGGGCCCGGAGCCGCCGCCGCGCCCTATAGGCCGATCTGATAGGAAGACCGCAGGCGGAGGGGCCTCGTGGCTGCGGCAGGCCCGGGGGTGGGGGTTGGGGGGCGGCCCCAGGCGGTGCCGCAGCCGGGGGAGGCAGCGCCCGGTACCGGAGCGCGCGGCGCGGGGCGGCGGCGCTGCGCCACGGCGGGGGCGCGGCCCTGCAGGAAGGCGCGGGCCGGTGGGCCCCGCGGCTGCCGATTGGTGGAGAGGGCGGCCCCCAGGCGGCGCGGATTGGCTGAGGCCTCCGCCCGGGCGAGAGGCGGGGCGTACGGTGGGGCGCGGCCGCCCATTGGTCGGGCGAGGCGAAGGGGGCGGGTCCCGGCGGCGCCGCATCCCGGCGGGGCGGGGGGAAGGGCGGGGCCCGGCGGCGCCGCAGCCAAGGTAACGGCGGGGGAGGGGCGGGCGGGGCGCGCCGCAGCCCGGCCCGGGCGGGCGGCGGCGGGACCGGGGCGGGGCGGGCGGGGGCTGCTGCCGCCGCCGCAGCGGGGCCGCGGGCACCTGTGGCCGCTCGGGGCGGAGAAGCGGCGATGCGTGCTCGGCGCCGCTCCCCGGCCTGCCCGCCCCGCCGCCCCCCGCGGGGACCATGAGCGCGGCGCCGCGGCCCGGGCGGCAGCGGGGGCCATGAGAAAGGTACCGAGCCGGGGAGGGAGGGAGAGAGGTGGGGGAGGGCGGTGCTGCAGGGCCGGGCTGCGGCGGGGCGGGGGCGGCGGTGCCCGGAGGGGGGGTGGGGTGGGGGAGCGGCACCGTGGGGGTCCCCAGGGTGGGGGCGGCCGCTTCGCACCCCCCCTCCCCCCGGGTGCGGTCGGGCTCCGGGCGGGGCGGGGCTGCGGGCGCCCGGTGGCGGTGCTTCTGGTTGCATCAGGTGGGCGCCGATGCGGGTATTTTTTTTTTATAATTTTTTTTTAATTTTTAATCATAATTTATTTATTTATTTTATTCCCCCCCCCCTCGCCTTCCCCCCTCCCCCCCACCCCCCCCCAACCGGCGCACTCCTCCCCTTATGCAAATGGCCGGGATGGCACCACGGGCTGATGCAAGCTGGCCACGGCGCAGCCACCGCCGCGACATTGGCCCGAACGCCTCCTGCCCTGCGCCGCCTGCACCGGGCCGCCCCCGCCATGGGGCGCGCGTCCGCACGGCCCTCCCGCAGAGCCGCCCCCCCCGGGCTGCGATGGGCAGCGGCCGCCGCGCCCCGCAGGAGCCGAAGGAATGGTGCGGGGGGCGGTGGGAGAGGGGTGGGCCGAGGGGTCCGGAGGGGCCCGTGCTGAGCGATTCCGTGTGCGTGCGTGTGTCTTTCAGGACATCGATTTGATTGACATCCTGTGGAGACAGGACATCGATCTGGGCGCCGGGAGAGAGATTTTTGACTACAGCCACCGGCAGAAAGAGAGCGAAGTGGACAAAGAGCTGAGCGATGGGAGGGAGCGCGGGGACGGCTGGAGGAGCGCGGGAGGACAGGTCACCAATAGGAACCTGCTAGTGGATGGCGAGACCGGGGAGAGCTTCCCTGCGCAGGTAACGGAACGGCTGGCATCCAGCACAGCTTCTGCTGAGCTGCACTGCCGGCTCAGGGCCCCCTCCAGCCCCAACCCGGTGCTGGGAGCACCTCGGAAGCATTGGGTGGGGCCTCTGGCTCTTTTTCGGATGCGCTGTAATGAAGCTGTGCTGTGGGAGTTGGTTTTTCCATCGCCTCCCTCCTAATCCCGGGGCTTGCGTTTCCCATCAGGTGCCTGGCGTGGAGGATCAGACGGCCCTGTCCCTGGAGGAGTGCCTTAGGCTGCTGGAGGCCACCTTCCCTTTCGGGGAGAACTCGGAGGTGAGCGAGGATGGGGTGGTGGTGGCGCTTGTACCCCTCATCGAGAGCGCAGGGCTGGCAGTAAATTGGGTTAGGCTGTTTAAGGAGGCTCCAGGCATCGTGCCTGCGAAAGTAGCAGCGGGGGGAGGGTGTGGGGTGGTCACAATTAATTAAAGACTTCTGGCTTTGCTTCTAATTAGTTCATAGCGAACTGCGGAGGAATAACTGCAACCGCTTTGCTCTGAACAAAGGAGAAGCGATTGCCGGCGTGGAGGTGGAAGGGCATTGGGGCTGGCTGCCTCCCTGGCCGCGGCTCATCAGCTGGGGACTGACTGTGCCTCACGTGGTTCAGTTTCCAGCTGCAGATGTCTCCACCCTAAGCGAAGCTGTGCCCAGCGAGAGCCGGCCTGCGGGCATCCAGAGCAGCCTGCTGTCTCCTCTCCTCCCAGAGGCCGAGTCGCCCTTCGATCTGGAGCAGCAGTGGCAGGACCTCATGTCTATCATGGAAATGCAGGTCAGAGCGCCCTGGGGTGGCAGCTGCTGGTGCTGGAGGGCTGGCAGTGGGAAGGGGTTTGCCCTTCTAGGCGCACGTTGTCGCTCAGCTGAGGTTAGAGAGGTGCGGTGGCTGCTCCAAGCACCCGGCTCCTGGACAACGGCGGTTGGAGGTCTGGCACAGCAGCTTTGCTTTTGCCACAGCCTGTGCGGTGACATTGAGTGCCCGTGTGGATGTTGCTGGCAGCATCTTCAATCTCCCGCAGCTGGCGGGTGGTGCTGGGCTGACTGGAGATGCGGCTCCTTCCACAGGAGCAAGAAACGCCGTTGTCTTTGGTGGTGAAGGGCAGTGAAAAGGCAGGGCCTGAACGTGGTTGATTTGCTGATCTGCTTCGTGTCTCTTGCAGGCTATGGAAGTGAACGGCACGACCGCTGAAACCCTTTACAACGGCACGAGCGGAGACCTGCTGACTTCTAACTACAACCTCGCCCCAAACACTCCCATCAATCAGAATGTCAGCCTGCATCAGGCCTCTCTGGGCAGCTGCTCACAGGACTTCTCCCTCTTCAGCTCTGAAATTGAAAGCCCCTCCATGGGCGGCAGCTCAGCGCTGCTACAGCTGGCGCCGGACAACTCCACCGGCCTCAACACCACCTTCAGCTCCACCAACTTCAGTGGGATCTTCTTCCCCCCACAGCTGAACAGTACGGTCAATGAGACAGCGGGCCCCGAGCTGCCCGACCCGCTGGGCGGCCTTCTGGATGAAGCCATGCTCGATGAGATCAGCTTGATGGATTTGGCCATCGAAGAAGGTTTCAACCCAGTGCAGGCCTCGCAGCTGGAAGAGGAGTTTGATTCTGACTCAGGTCTTTCTCTGGATTCTGGCCACAGTCCCGCTTCCCTTAGCAGCTCAGAAGCCTCTTCCTCTTCTTCTTCCTCCTCTTCCTCCTCCTCCTCCTCTTCCTCTTCCTCCTCATTTTCGGAGGAAGGAGCTGTCGGCTACAGCTCAGACTCTGAAAACGTGGACTTTGAGGAAGCGGAAGGGGCGGTTGGGTACCAGCCTGAGTACAGCAAGTTCTGCCGCATGAGCTACCAGGACCCGGCGCAGCTCCACTACTTGCCTTACCTGGAGCACGTGGGCCACAACCACACCTACAACATGGCACCGGGGAGCCTGGATCCCGAGGAGCCCAAGCTGCCCAGCGTGGGGAAGAAGAGCAGCAAGGAGAAACCGTCCGAGTTCCTGGATAAGCAGATGAGCAGGGACGAGCATCGAGCCAGAGCCATGAAGATCCCTTTCACCAACGACAAGATCATCAACCTGCCAGTGGAGGAGTTCAACGAACTGCTCTCCAAGTACCAGCTGAGCGAGGCGCAGCTGAGCCTCATCCGAGACATCAGGAGGCGAGGCAAGAACAAGATGGCTGCCCAGAACTGCCGCAAGAGGAAGCTGGACACCATCCTGAACCTGGAACGCGACGTGGAGGACTTGCAGAGGGACAAGTCCAAACTGCTCAGGGAGAAGGTGGAGTTCCTCAAGTCCATCCGCCAAATGAAGCAGAAGGTGCAGAACCTCTACCAGGAGGTGTTCGGCCGCCTGCGCGATGAGAACGGCCAGCCCTACTCCCCCAGTCAGTACGCCCTGCAGTACGCCAGCGACGGCAGCGTCATCTTGATACCTCGCACCTTGGCTGACCAGCAGGCCAGGAGGCAGGAGAGGAAACAGAAGGACCGCAGGAAGTGAGGGAGGCAGCGGGAGGAGTGGGAGAATCGCTCAAGGTAGAACTGGAGAAGGGCTGAGCCTGGAAGTGCTTAGAGGAACTTTCATGCCTTCTTATCCAATATATCTTCTGAATCGTGACTGCTGCCGGTCAGTTGTGCAGGAGGGACTGCGGCCGAGCGCTCCCTGTGGGGAGGGACGGGGAGGAGCGGACAGTGCACTGGCGAGCCCAGCACCTTCCACAGCCTGGAATCCTTTGAGCGCAGGAAATCAGCTGGCATCACTGGTGGGGAGATGGGCGGAGGCGGAAAAACTACTGTTAGGAACTGGCTTTAAATAAGAAAAGAGATTTAAGCAAATGAACTTTAAAACCAAGCGATAGGAGAGACGTTTTTCTGAACTTCCAAAGTTCTGTGATTTCAGGTAGTTGTTTTGTTTTTTTTTTTTTTCGTTTTTTTTTTTCTTTTTTTTTCTTTCCTGAACCAGTTTTGACATCAGTGTGTGTGATTCAACCCCGACTTAATTCCCGATTAGCCACCATCCCTTTCTAGATCAGACCAGTGCACGCATGGCGACGCGAGCGGCGCGGCCTTCCGTTAACCCTTCCAGCTCCGTGAGGAAGGGAGGGCTGTGCTGCCTTGGGGCATGGAGCCGGAGCCCTGAGGGGGGGTGGAACTGGGAAGGGTTAACAGGAGCAGAGCGCTGTGCATCCCCACCACACTCACAGAGCAGTCACTGCCGTCACTGCCGCGCTGTGCAGGAGGGCAGCAGCCCGCATGCAGCCGCTGTCTTCTCCTCCTGCCTGGCTGAGGAAGCTTTGGGGGCCACGGGGCGGCTGTGGGGCAGCAGGGGCAGCACGCAGAGCCGTGGGCTTGTCACCTATAGAACTAGACAGCTGTTAGGATTCCTGTTTCTTAACCGTGCTTTGATTTTATTTTCTTTCATTTTTTAATTTGTAGGGCTTCCGCCCTGTTTTCCCTATAGGGTCTAGAGTGCTTGTGTTGAGTAAAAGGGAGAAGCCCGAACGTTCAAAGCTGCTAATTGTTCTCTTTGCCATAAAGATTCAGTGTAACCGTGTGATCACATTATAGGATTCTCTTCTGTCCCTAGGTGTTGGTCTGACTTCCTTTGTTTTAAGGAGGGGGGTGGGGGTAGTGCCTTGATCACTGTTGGTCTCCTCCATGGAGACGATCCTAGAAGCTGTATTTACAATATAGCACAGCTGGGAGTGACTTTACCAGCAACTGAATAGCTTAAAATGGCTTTCCTAGCCAGTCCTGTGCATGTGATACGGGCTGAGGGTGCAGCACTGAGGGGGACGGCGCTGAGGAGGTGCGGGCAGCAGCTCTGCAGGGAACCCGGGGGTGCCGGGGGGGGGGGGAAAAAGTGATGCTGCTGGGGGGCTGCCAAGGAGGAGGTGTTGGTGTGGGCATGTGAACAGGCTGCGGGGAAAGGAGCTGCATCTCAGGGTGCGGGGTGGGGAAGAGCCTGAGGGCTGCCTGCTGCCTCTGCGGGCCTTGCGCAGGGCTCTGCCGTACCGCGCTCCTGAGATCCAACAGCTTTACTTACGCATGAGATGAAGCACAAGGGATGGAGATGTTGGGTGTTGGGGAGGTTGGAATGGAGCCCTGAGTGTATGTTTTAAATTATTTTCCTCTTAGAAACTTTATTTTAATGATCTGTGACCTGTCAGGGAAAGAAGAGAGATTGTGTGAGCACAGGACGAAAAATAAAATGGCTTATTCACTGTACAGGCCTTGGTTTCGTGTATTTTCTTTTTTTATTTCATTTCTTAAGCTGAAACACGTTTGGGAAACTGAAGAGCCTCCCTGTGGGGGCTGTCAGGCACAGCTCCCAGCGCTCTCTGGTGCTCTGTGGGGAGCGGGCACTGCTGCTGTCCCAGCCTGTGGGTGTTCCTCAAAGGCAGCAGCAGCCACCCCATCATTGCCAGCAGCATTTCCCCCACCTGGCCTCTAGTGGGGGCAGCGTTGGTACAGAGCTGGGTTCCCAAATCGATTAGGAACCACCAACTGAGCCCATGAACAAGAGGAGTCTTGGGCAGCAAGGTGCTGCAGTCCTTTGGCAGAGCCCAGCAGCAGCACCGCGTTGTACCCCATAGGGAGGTGAGGTCCTGCTTCTATTGGGAACTTCAGGGGGCCACTGTGATTTTCCGCAGACTGACCTCCCCTGATCCCAGGAGGGGATGGGTTCATCTCCCTTTTGCTGGGTGCTGAGGCCAGGGCAGCTCCACCTGCTCCCAGCTCAGCCCAGGGCACTAAAATAAACTACGAGGTTTTTCCAGTCTCTTCCTGGGCCCCAGGGCTGTTTATCACCCCAGGTCGCTGTTAGGCTCTGGGAACCAGGGCCAAGCATTTGCCTTCCCCCCCCACTGTCGTCCTTTTCAAGGGTCTCCATGGCCTGGCTCCTGCCATCCCCCCCATTCTCGCTCTACCCCAGCCAGCAGCCCTGCTCTGCCTTCAGCTGACAACTCTCCTGGTGCAACCCCTGCCTGCAGCCTCTCCCCCAACCTTTGGGGCAGCACGGGGCCGGCGCTCGGTGCATCGCTGTCACATCCTGGCACTGTCAGCAGCGTGGGCTGCCTGCCAGCACAGATCAGGTGGTGAGCAGACCTTTCATTTTCCAAGGCAGGAAGCATTTAGCCACCAGCGGGGCCTCCTGCCTCTGATCTCGGCCAGAGCCCTGGCTTTGAGGAGCGCTGGGCTGCCCCCATCCCCGAGCACTGAACCCGCCACCGCGACCCAGCACAGCTCCCAGCACACACAGAGCTGGGCTCAGGGCCTCAGGAGGCGATGCTCTGCCCCATCAGGAGCCCCACATCCTCCAGACTCCTGCAGCACTCAGCTTCCAGCCCCCCGTGGCCATCAATCAGCCAAGAGCCTCTCCGAGGAGCTGCAGCCTCCTTACGTTCAATTAAGTGGACGTTCCCTCCTTCCAACTCCAGTGATTAACACCAGTTTAATTGCCGCTGCTGCTGGCTACCAGTGCAGGGAAGACATTTCAGCACAGCGCTGCGAACAGCCCGGATTTCAATGGGCTGCATAGTTTTGCAGGCACTGGCAGAGCAGCTGAACACCACCCAAAACCTCAGCGCTGCTCCCTGCTCTCACGCACCCCCTGGATGCTGGAAATCGCATGCCAGAAAGCCCCATCCTCCTCTCAGCGAAGCCAAGGGCTGCGCTGTGGCATTGAGAGCCAGGGGGCCGAGCAGAGGGGCACAGTTTTCCCTTCCTCCAATCCTGAAGGCTGCAAGCTCTTGCACAAGGCCAAGAACAAAGCAAAAACGCCATTTCCATCTTCGGCCACCAGAATCAGCTTTAAAAATCACAAAAAACCCCCGTCCGTAAACACAAAGTGACAACGTCTGCTTCACGTCCCCACCAGAAGTGCAGGAAAGGGCAACTCACCCACAGCGCAGCCAGCCGGGTCTTGGCCTGGAGCTCACGCAGCATCTCCTTCCATCACCCAGGTCCCACATCACAGCTACGCCTCTCGCCCTCAGGAGCCTCCTCGACTCAGGCCTTTAGCTACCAAGCTCTGCCACGACTCTTCTGCAGTCACAACGGATGAGACGCAGCCGTGGGCTGCTGCAGAGCTCCAGTCGACACCTAGATGAGAGCCAGCTCTAACCTCGTTCAGCGCCACCAGGGCTGAGTCCCCTCCTCACTGCTCTACACCGAGCTCACGCACAAGAGAGCTGGAGGAAGGAGCAAGGTTGAGAAGAAAAAAATCAGCATTATAAATCTAAAATTTTATTGAGACCAAAAAAAAAAAAAAAAAAACGGACAGAGCTCGGTATGAAGTTAAAATCCAAACACGTACTTTACATTTCAACAACGTTTTCACAGAAACCTAAACACATGCTTTTAAAAAAAGGTTTGTACAATGCAAGTCTAGATACATACCACCCTACAAGGAGGTGCCAGGAGTCTGGTGGGGCTCACGATCCCAGACATTAAATAAGTCATTATTTGTAATAAACTGGATTTAAAAAAGAAAACCCTCTGTAGTTTCAGGGTTACTCATCTGGCTCCGGCACCAATGTGTGGCCTCCTAAAAACAATCACTTGTAATGGGAGAATATGGAATTAATTTTTTGATATTTTATTTTTATTTTGTGCTGCTCGTGGTTTCCTCTCTCTCCCATGTGATAAATGTGAAGGGGTTCCCAGTGCTGCTGGCTGGACAGTCAAATTAAGGTGGGAAAAGGAACGAATGGTCACAAGTCTCCCCCCCCCCCCCCGGGTTTTGACCAATAGCACCTTGTGATGGAAAGAAACAAATAAAGGTAGAAAGGCTTTGAAGGGGTTAAGATGCATCCCCAGCCCACCCTCCCACCTACAATGCGTGTGTCAGTAGCTGGCAGTTCTGCTGCAGGACAATACGAATCACAAGTCTCCCTCCCTCCCTCCCCCCCCCCATACCAACTGCTCTGAGGGTTTTGAGGACCTCGGCTCCAAAGATGTGGACATTCACAGTCTCAGGCTCACGTCAGCCTCCCTGTCTCCTTAGTTCTGGCATCAATACTGGGCTCTTATTTTTCTTTTTGTTTCCTTTTTTTTTTTTTTTTTTCTTTTTTTTTTTTTTTCCTCCTCCTTTTCTGAATTCAGGTTCTAAAAAAGACCTGGAAATGATCTGGAACTTCGGTCACCAGACCTCATCTCCCTCCCTCCCCGATGAAACAAGAGACCAATTGCCCCACATCCCTCCCCCCAACCCCCTCCCCAAACACCCCCAGACCGATACAACCAGTAATAGCGAAAGAAAAACGAAACTGAACAAAAATGAAACCAACAACAGAAAACAGAAAACCAAAACGATAACAAAACATTAAAAAAAAAAAAAAAAAAAGAACAACAAAACAAAACCAAAAACCTACACGCATGCTACGCCGTAAAAATGCAGAGTTAACACTATTGGGAAGAAGGCTGTGGGTTGCTGAGATGGTCTTTGAAGAATGAGCAGTATCCATCTGCACTCCTTGTCCCCAGCCCACCCATCACCAGTGACAGTCCTTCATGGAAGGGGCTTTGCTTCCTCTCCCACAAGCTGCCAAATGAACAGCCTGGAAATCCCATGCCACCCCCCCTCCCCTTCCCCAGACCCCCCACCCTTCCCTCCCCTCCCCCCCCCCCCCAAGTGAGCAGGGCTGGTTTGAATCTGTACACAGCATGAAGCTGCATAAAGCAGCAGAGCAGCTGCAGGGCACAGAAACCATACTGGTCTCTTCAAAGGGCATCTTCTCCAGCCATCTCTACGCTCCCGACTGAGCAGAGCTGCGTTTTCCCCCTCTCGCTCAAACCCACAGTTCAGATCTTTATACAAAGGCTGGCCAGGGCGGGTGCCAGGGTTTAGTTCTTGTCCTCTTTCTTGTCATCGTCCTCTGAGGGGTAGGAATGCCATGTCAACCTCTCCTCATAGAACGAGATGACCACCTGGGGGCACTTGATGTTGGCTTCCTTGGCAGGGACCAGGTCGGCCTCGTCAGAGTTCTTCCTACAGGCCAGAGCAGAGGAGCAAATTAGGGGGCTGCAGAGGGAGGTGGAAGAACTGGAGAGAATCGAGCAGCTGGAAAACGGAGGTGTCCTCAGGCAAATCCTTCCCGAGTGACTCCGGCGCAGAGAGAAGCAGCACATGAGCCCTCAAAAGCAGGCTGTGTTGTCAGGCGTGGGGACAGCAGCCACATCGAAACCGCAGCCCTTCCCCAGCTACTCCATACTTCTGAGACAGCGCAAGAGCAAGTGCTTCCTGCACCTTCACCTGCCTGGTTCGGCTCCCAGCTGCACCAGCACCAAGCCCTGCTTCCCTAGAGCTGAAAGGGTCACGGCTCTCCTTGGGATGTGGCCTTCTGCAGCTGTGGCCCGTGCCACGACATCACACCCCTCTCTCTCCCCAAGCTCGCGCCTGCTGCAGGGGGGGCATCTTAAGAGCCACGCAATCCCAAGGGCCCTACCTGCTTCTTTCACATCCACGTTAGCCTCAGCGCAGAGGGTCACCTCAGGCAGCAGCGCCATCGTGAGAGATTTCGTGCCAGGTAGCAGGGACTCCCCAGGTGCAGGTCCTTCCCTCTCTGGCACAGAATAAGCGAAGAAATGACAGACACAAAGACACACTCACCACTTCATCAGGAACATGAGCTCCCCGCTGGAATCTGTGGCACCGATGATCCGCTCCGGCTCAAAGCCCCGGGCAAAGCCTCGTGGTTTCTCTGACTGCAAGAGACAAGTTTCCACTTGTAGCATCGAAGGGTGATGGGTCACAGCCCTGCTGCAGGCCACACAGACGCACTGAGGGCTGCTCAGAAAGGCTCTGTGCATCAGATGCTTGGACTGCAACGACCGAGGCCGGCAGGCGCTGAGCAAACAGCTCAGGTGTACACCCAGGGGGGACCTGAGGCCCCAGGGCAGCCCAAAGCCACGAGCAGAGGATCTGATTCCCGAGGCACAGCTGCTCAAACTTTTATGCTGGCCTGGGATTCAGCAGCTCCCAGGATGCAAACCAGACCGCAGAGCCTCTGTCTTGTCCTTTTTCCACGAGCATCCCCAGAGGGAGGCTCCCTGCTCTGCCCTGCTCCCTCTCTCGGAGGCAGCAAGTAACCCCTGCAGCCCATTTTACCCCTCATGAGAAGCCGTGGCTCCACACTATTTAGGTTCAAAGATTGACCTCTCAGTTTAGTGCTAAAACCAGCCCTAGATTCTCGTAGAGGCCTGGCTCAGAGAGCAGCTCACACCTCCTTCCAAAAAAGCTGCAGCTTTTCAAAAGCTCTCCAGCTGTGCCTCGCTGATCTGGAATAGTCTCCCCTCTGTGCAGAACCATCTGACTGAGGCTTCAGAGCATGGTAGCCGGACACTGAGCCATATTCAGAGCTAGGGAGGTGAGTACAGAAAGCCCACGCTGCCTCACCTCCTCCTTCTTCTTCTTTGGTTTGCTCTCCTCCCCTTTGTCCTCCGTGTCAGACTCTGCTTTGCGTTTGCTCCCCTCAGACTTCTCACTCTCGTGTGCAGTTTTCTGGGACTGAAGGAACTCTGCAATGAGGTCTGGGCAGTCGAGGTTCTCCTCTGGCTCCCATGTGTTATCTTCACTGGAATCAAAACCAGCAGTTTAATTTACAGACAGAAAGTCCTGACACCAGATCAAGTGGAGATGCTGAGAGAAGCAGCAGGATTCTGTGCCCTCACCCCACGAAACAGATAAGGGCAGTGAGGCCAGAGGCCAGGGCAGTTATTTCTCTTTTCATCTGTCTGCTTGCTTCACACTCCGTTGAAGGGAAGGAAGCCCCATGTACCACCATGGCACTGCACAGTTAATCCGTGAGACAGAAGCAGGACTTTCTCACCTAGGCTACGCTCACAGTGCTCCAATTAGAGCTGGTGACACTCAGTACCACCTTCTCCATCATCACCCTCACCCTGAGCCTGTCAGCTCCATTTTGGAAGCCCTGTGAGCAAATCACTTCTGTCTCACGTCTGATCCAAGTCTCCCCTCTTTCAGATTAAAGCCCCCTCAACCCATCACTATCAGAACACGTAAAAAGTCAGCCTCCCTCTTGCTTACTTACTCGGAGAAGCCTTTCCATTTCAGCAGATATTCCACCTTGCCCTTCACCACCCGTCGATCCAGGACCTTCTCCACCACATACTCCTCCTCTTCTTCCTCTAAGACCTCTTCTACTTTCTTCTTGTTCTGTTTTTTTCCCATTGTGCTGGCCAGTTTTTCAGCTTACGGGCGACGCTGCTGAAAGGGGAAAGAAGATCACACGTGTGTGTTAGGGACAGGTTTGCCTTTGCAAGGCAGCAAAAGTATACACTGTACCCAGCTTTGCCTCTATGTAACCAGCACAGAAGGCTCTTCTAGAGGAAGCAGGCACTTACAAAGCAGGAAACACACAAAGCCCTTCCACTCATCTCAGCTCTACCCTGCCCTGAGCTGTGGAAACCATGTGCAAATCCACACGGCAGCGGGAGGGAGAAAGCACACTGCTGACATTAATTTAAAGTTAATAAACAGTTAATCCAAGCTAAACAAAAGTCACAGTCCCTGATCCTGAGCTCCCCACGTTCTTTTCTTCGGTGTTTTCATGCATGTGCACTCCAGGATGTTCATCCAGCTCCAAAGTTTTTCTTCTCCTTATCTCCAGGGCACACAAACAGCCACAGAGCCACAAGCCCAGAGCTGGTGGGAAGCATCTGAAGCACTGCAAGGTTTGCAGGATGCTCTGACCCAAACCAAGGCCGTTCCCTGCACAAAGGAATATGGGAGTGCTGTCCTCAGGTTCAAAGACTGCCCAAAGGATCGGGAGGCGGTGAGCACTGCCAGCCCAGGTCACCAACACGGAGTCACTGTCACTGCTGTGTCACCAGGACTGAACCTCCTGGTCCTGGCTCTGCATCCCAGGAGGAGTGATTGTCACCCACCCACCTTGCTGAACAGCTGCCCAGAGCCTTCCTGGCCTAACTGCTTTGTTCCGGTAAGAAATGCTTTTTCTGCCAAGCAAGATGACTGCCGAGCTGGTCAAACATTACCAGCCCAAAGACTTTATTTGTGCTGCTCAGGTGAACGCTGTACAATGCATTTCAGCTTGACAAGAATCTATGCCAGTTAGTTTACACAGCAAAACAAGAATCCTGCAGATCTACGCTAACGGAAGATGTCAGAGTTAAGAACAACCTCGGCTCTCAGCTGAGCGAGCTCCCTTTTACAAGATGTTGCTGAGTTGAGCAGCTGCCATTAAAGCCCCATTCAAAGGAAAAGGCTCAAAAAGGAGGCCCACAAAGCCCACAGCATGAACGACACCAGAAACCCCAACAGAGAGGACAGGAGGGACCCAGCCGAGGCTCCAGACCACCCTGTCTGTGCTGCTGTCTCACAGACGGGCCCTAAGGGCAGCCAAGGAGCATGGAAAAGCACAGAGAAAGCAGCTCTTCTCTGTCTGGCACGCACTGCACTCAAATGTTTGGATTTTGGACCTCGCTGCTGCTCGGAGCACACACTGTGCAGAGGATGGGCACCGAGCTGCTGGCGAGCCAGGCAGAACAACAGCCCTCCTTCAGCACAGGGCTCTGCTGCTTTGCGCTTACCTGGTGGTTTCAGAGAGGGGTCAGCACCAGAGCAGGCTGGAGATGGAGCCAAGGGAAGAGCTTGCCCTGCTGCCTTACAGAGCTGCAGCATCCATCAGAAGAGATGAAGCCTGCTCTGAGTGCTGTGTGAAGCCATGAGAAGTTCCCCAGCCTGTAAAGCCCAGCAGCTGGAGCAGTGACAGGGACATTCCCACTGCAGGGGCACGGCTACCACAGGGCTCCTTTATTAAATACCACAGCACACCCAGCCCCCAGGGATACAGATTTCCTGCCCCGTTCCTGGGGGAGGGGAGCAGTAAAAGTTGGGAACAGCTTGCTGAAACGAAGCTGTACAACATCATGTAGCAGAAAAGCTTTTCCCTGCCCTGCTCCCAGGCTAAGGCAGAGCCAGATATTCACTGGGCATTGACTGGACGCTGGGTGGAGGCGAGCCCAAGGCTGTGCAATGCAACAAGGCGAAGCTGCCAGCGCCTGCAGGAAGCCAGGCTCGAGTTTCACTCTGGAATTCCTCTGGCAGCTCCTTCCTCCCCTTCGCCCCCGCGGGGAGGAGGATCCTCCCTGCACTGAGGCACAACCTGTATGTGGAGAAAAGGGCCCGCAGGGGTGAGATCCTGGGGTTCCCTGCTCCCAGCTGCAGCCAAAGGGATCTCAGTCACAAACGCTGCAGTTGTCGCCTTGTTCTTAAGGACCTTGGGATGCTGAGTTAAGGAGCCCGAGTTCCCTGGACCAAAATCTGTAAGAGGCACAGGAACCAGAGCTGGGAGTGAGACAGGCAGAAACGGAGAAAGCAGGAAAGCCACAGAGCAGCGCAAGCAATGCTGTGCCACAGCTCCATCATTACAGGAAGGGCAGAGAAGATGCAAAAGCGAGGCCAGGAGCACTTGCAGAAAAAGCAGGCCAGCAGCAGAGCCCAGGGGGCCCGGTGGCTCCGGGGCTCCACGCAACACAGCACATCTGCAGCCTGCAGGCGATGCTGAGCCCCAGCACAGCAGCTGCTGCAGAGCCTGGCGT